TTAGCTCCATCCATGTCATTGCAAATGGCAAGATTTCATTCTCTTTTATGGCTGAATAATATTTCATTGTGTGCGTGTGTGTGTGTGTGTCTATCACCTCTTCATCCATTCATCATTGATGGGACACTTGGGCTGCTTCAGTATCTTGGCTATAGTAAATAATGCTGCAGTAAATAAGGGTGCATGTATCCCTTTGAATTAGTGTTTTTAGTATTTGGGGGGTAAATACCCAGTAGTGTGATTACTGGATCTTAGGGTAATTCCATTTTTAACTTTCTGAGGAAACTACATCCTGTTCACAGAGGCTGAGCCAGTGTGCATTCCCACCAACAGCACACAAGGGTTCCTTTTTCTCCACATCCTCACAATGCTTGTTGTTTCTTGAGTTTTTGATTTTAGCCATTCTGACAGGTGTGAAGTGATATCTCATTGGGGTTTGGTTTGTTCCCTGATGATGAGTGATGTTGAATATCTTTTTTTTTTTTTAAAGATTTTATTTATTTATTTGACAGAGAGAGAGCATAAGTAGGCAGAGTGGCAGGCAGAGGGAGATGGAGAAGCAGGCTCTCCACTGAACAGGGAGCTGGACGTGGGGCTTGATCCCAGGACCCCAGGATCATGACCTGAGCAGAAGGCAGCCGCTTAACCAACTGAGATACCCAGGCGCCCCTGATGTTGAATATCTTTTCATGTGTCTGTTGCCATCTGGATGTCTTTTTTAGAGAAGTAACACTCCAGCACTTTCAACTGCATCTCTCTGTGCCTCAATTTCTTCATTGTAAAATAATAATAGAATTTATTTCAAAATAATATTTGAAGATTGAAGTATGTATATGTTAATTGCTAAGAATAGTGCCTTTCTTAGAGTTTGACACTGTGTCAGTGCTCACTACTGTTACCTGGAGTAAATCACCAGTCAGCTCTAGGCATCTAGAGATGTAGACCAGATAAAAATGACCTTTTTTCCTGCTCATGTTACAGGAATATTGAGAAGATGAAGTTTATATGTAAAATGTCAACAACTGTCTAGACAGAATATCTGTTTTAAAGTTAATGAATATCCTCAAATAAATCTATAGACAATCTGTATCTTAGGTCTGGAGGCTCCTTGGACATAGATTAGCTTGTTCCCAAAAGACAGGAGATAATGAAAGTATCTTATGATCTATAGGAAGGAAAAATTCACTAATTATTATTATATTACTTTTTTACCACTTACCATCCTTAGAATACCTTACTACACAGTAAATTTTCATCAAATACCTGCTAAATTCAATATAATTTTATTTAATCTTTCATTTTTCACAAGGAGTATTTGAGCTACATTGGAGTCTCATCTTTCTTTATAATAAAGACACCACTTACTTTTTTTTTAAGATTTTATTTATTTATTTGACAGAGAGAGAGACAGCAAGAGAGGGAACACAAGCAGGGGGAGTGGGAGAGGGAGAAGCAGGCTTCCCGCTGAGCAGGGAGCCCGATGCGGGGCTCGATCCCAAGACCCTAGGATCATGACCTGAGCCAAAGGCAGATGCTCAATGACTAAGCCATCCTGGCGGCCCATCCACTTACTTTATTTCAAAAGTAAAATAAAACCCAATTCACCGAGGCAGTGGAAATTATTTAAATGAACCTAGAAGTCTATTATAAAAGGTGACCTCTGAAGGAGTAGGTCCTTTAAGGATGGGAAGGACATGTTTTCATGTTTTTGTTTTTGTTTTTTTTAATTTACCCTTGACCTGGAGTTTAAATGGTGGGCCTTTCAGTAAAAGGGATTTTTCTAATTTTCTGCTGAATCTAGAGAAAGAAAATAGCATGGAAAACAGAGTATAAGTTGAATCCTGTGTTTGGTTTTCACAGCTGACAGCTGGAAGCTGAATAGAATAATTTGGAATGGAGGAGAAACAATAACAATTTTTAGTAGTAAAGACGTTTGTCTTCAAGATTCTTCAGAGCATTGTCATGGGACTATGTTTAGAGAAAGGATAGGAAGCACTTAATAACTCTTTTAATAAAAAGTACAATGAAGCCAAAGGCAAACATCCTTCGGCTGATGTCATCCCATCAATATGTGATACAGTCTTTGCAAGTCAGAATCTTATCGACAGCCCAGCTGGCAAATTTCTTCAGTGGCAATACTGCTTTTCACATAGATATTATGGGTGGAAGATTTTTTCCTACAGGTTGCTTTTGGTCCAAAATATCAAGATCTTTTTCCAGGCACTGGTGAGAGATTGGGCCTTGGCACTGGGTTAACAAGTTTTAGATCTCGGTCTCACCAATAATAAATGGTATATCTTTGATCCATTTCATTGAAATCCAAGTTAGATTTAAAAAGGGGGGAGGGGGAAAGGAAACAGAAAACTCTGTCCTACAAATGTAAAGAAGCTTTGTTATACGCCATGGGTAAAGTGTATTAAGTGTGTAAAAAAGAAAAACAGAATAGTAATATTGATAGAATAATATTATTAGATCCTAAAAATCTGTTAATCCAATGAACCTTGTAAAAAAAGTTATGTACACTTTAAATCAGATTATGATGGGGTTTTTTTGTACTCTTCATAAATGACAAGAATCCCTTTACAAAGTATTTGACCTCCCAAATATTAACGCTGAAACTGAGGCAATCTACTAGACTCTTCTACTTATTTCATAATTGCTTCTGTCCCCAAAGTAAAAGCTTCCCTTATACTTCTCACTCTTCCTGCTATTGCAGGACTCATGACCTGTTTCCTGTTGATAACTTTTAAGAGCTGGTTCAATATCCTCAGGAAAAGAAATAGTTCATTGTGTACCCTAGGGAACTCAGATCTACCAGGAAAGACTATGTTCCTCATTTGACTTTTCCTGAAATTTCTTTGGAATGACCTAAACACACAAGAGCCTGAAAGAAAAAAGTTCTCAAGCCAAAAAAATTCACGGGGCAATACTCTCTCTGATTCTCCATGGAAAAATGTTCTCAGCAAATTATGTCATGATTATTTCCTATTCTTAAATTTTAAAAAAGTTTGTGGAGAAAATGTTATACCATACTACTCTTCTTTGAAATATTTGCTCATATTGGGATTAGTGTTGTGAGTTTTGTTATACAGGTGATGGGATTGAGGGCAGAGATGGAGAGAAATAAGGTCGAGAATAGCAAAAATGTCAAAGAAATGTTATTTTTTTCCCTCCTCACTATCTAAAGTGACACTTTCCTCAGGTTGCAGATTTGAAGGGAACACTTCAAATACTATTCAACACCCACTGCCCAGGCAGCTAGACTCTTTAAAGCAATGGCATTTAAAGAGACACTTGTCATTCAACCCTGCACTAGACTGCAGTTATGTAGGATTCCAGGGGTCAACACAATGTGTGTCATGTCCCTATTTACAACTTAGTCCACAAAGTCATTTGACTTTCCTTAGGTTAACCACATTTTCTTCCTGTAGTAACAAGACTTAAATTGCACTTAACTGCTTAGCTGAAGTCCTCATCCACATTTCTTGTTACATGCTTATTATATTAACTTGCATCCATTAAATATCTGCACTGATCATAGAAAATATTTGGTAATATCCACAGCTTTCCAAAGTGCCTCTCTACAATTTACTAAAGAATACAGGTCTCCAAAAAGGGTTGTTTATGCTTGTGTGTGCTCCCTTATTTAAAAAAAAAAAAAATTACTAATTCCTTTTTTTTACATATTTTTAATATCTTTTACATTTTATATTACAATTTGGATTATAAAACTAATTTCACATTTACTTCATTTCAGCTAACAGCACCATGAGAAAATTATAAACATTGGCACTTTATACTTAATGAAATAAGCTTAGTGAAGTGAAGTGATTCACCCAATAATAGATCAGAATACAAGGTCTAAAACTCTAATTTTCTGACCACAAATACAGTCTTTTTGCATGACACACTAAATGGAACACAAAATCTGTTCAACACTGAAGAAATTTCATAATCAACAGAAAATTGAAAGGAAAATTCGTAAGGAAGAAATCCACAAGCAATGATTGCTAAGTAACACAGTCTTATGAAAATGAATACAGAAATGTTCTCTTTATCATATGTTTGCTAATTTAATGTCATTTCACCACACAATAGATGTTTACTGAAAATAAAACTGAAGCAGCCTAGTTTTCGCTGCTGAAAAATAAAGCTAATAGATTATCCTCACGAGCATTAAACCCCTAAAACTGATTTCTCTACAAATCAACAAAGTCACTGGTTGTGACGGTGTTACTTGCAGTAACCCATTACTTTTGTGCATCTTGGCATCCTGAGAAAGGGGGCACTTACACAAGAAGTCAGTGATGTGTGCAGATGTTCACAGTTTCTCTTCCACTTTCCATGACCTTATTGGATAACTCACCCTATTAAGATTGTATTTACTCATCTTTAGCTATGTGTTAATGACAAACTTGCCTCAAAGGATTTCATCTCAGGAGAGTATTAAAATCATCTTCTTGAAGACAGCATGTTTCTCAAAGACTTATCCCTCAAATAATCAAATAATCAGTACTCTTGTAGAGTCCCTACAAACTCTCTGTAAGGCACAAACAACCAGAACACAGATTGCTATCACTTTTGAAGAGCATCTCCACACTGAAATTGTCCCCAAATCACAAATCTATTCTCCGTCACACACATTTCACATTATTTACATTTATTATTATTAAATCTTCAGTACCTGAAAGGTATAAACATGGATCAAATGGAAGAAAATAGGAGCTGAAACCAAACTATTATAGACCCACATAAAGAGACTGACTTTTGCTCTGGTCTTCAGTATTGCTGAAGGGAGCATCAGGGACAGTAATTTGGATATGGAACTGAGCTGAGAATATTTCTTTCCTGGAAGAAATTCCTAGGGAAAGGACACAATCATTGGAGTTGTTTGTTTGTTTGTTTGTTTTAGAGAGAGAGATCATGAGTGGGGAGGGGCAAAGGGAGAGGGAGACAAAAAATTTTAAGCAGGTTCCACTCAGCACAGAGCCCGAAGCAAGGCTCGATTCCAGGACCCTCAGATCACGACCTGAGCTGAAATCAAGAACTGACTGAGCCACCCAGGTGTCCCAATTGTTGGAGTTCTCAATGGATATGGGGAGGTACGTTCGTAAGAAGTTAAGATTCTAACTAAGAGAATTATCCCAGTGGAAAGCAGCCCATTGACATGGCAGATAGGGGCTTTATTGAAAGACTAGGAAGGGAAAAATATGGAGTGAAGCAAACAGAAAGAATTAATTATGTATTTAGGAGCACAGTATAGGAAATGATTGCTAATTTCTCACAGACTACTTGACCTTTGGGGCAAAGAATGTTACGTACATTTATTTCCTCTACTTCAGTAAGTTTCTCACTTCTCCAAATATGAAGAAAGACGTGGAAACAGGGGGATGATACTAGATGCTGAGAAGGAAGAACACTAGATGTGATCTCTAAGTCAAGAAGGTGGATTACAACTTTATGAGATTCTGAGACTGGTTGTTGGCACATCGGATTTCTTTGTGACTGGTAAATATATGCATGAACCCAAGCTCAGGAGTGCTGGGGATCCTGAACAGGAAGCATGAAAATCCTTCTTGCACCAGTCAGAAAAATTGCTTTTCCTAACTTTTTTTTCCATGTTCCAATGTCTCAAATATCCTTTGCATTGATTTTGCTTGGCTCAATCTTTATGCTGAATTGTTGTATAAATATGGATCACATGGGGAAAAATAGGAACTGAAACCAAACTCTTACAGCTGCACATAAAGAGATTGACTTCTGTTCTGATCTTCAGTCTCCCTGAGGGGAGCTTGACATTGCAGTTATGGTGGGAGAGTCCATCACCTCCATATAATGGCTCAGGGAAGCTAATAGAGGCTCTCGGGCTTCACCATGGCCGCCTTTCTTTCGCATGCACACCGCCTCAACTCTTTGCAGTCCTTCGAGAAAGCCTTTCCATTGAGGATGGTCACACAGTCCCTGCTTCTTAGGCTAGTAAAATCTATTATAATCTCAAACCTTAAAGAAAAAAAAAAAAAGGGTTCATTGAATCATAGTTTGCTTCTAAAATGAAATGTTAAATACCCAGAAAGTACATAGGGAGTACTCCTAACTCGATAAAATTATAGAATAGATACGCAGAAGGAATTTACTGGAGAGATGGGGTCACCAAGCTCTTTCCTTTCAGCCCCTCAATTTCCATACTTGTTCTTAGAAGCATCAGTTCATCTAAAACAACAAAAACTGTTTGTAAGTAAAACTAAGAGGTATGCTATAATCCAAATTTATCATATTTTACCATCATCTGAAAAATCATCTACTTTCTCTGTGACTCAGTTTAATTTACTATAAAATAAAAATGATTACATTAAGTATGTCTTATCTCCTGGGAGAATAAATCCCATATGATCTATAGAGAAGAAAGGTGTCTGTCCAAACATGGCTTCAAATTGTAATTATATTTTAGAATAGATATTACATTTACCTATTTCAAAAGATATCATGCACAATCTTATCTAAATACTCACATAAGTAAAACCAATTTTTGATAATATTGCTCCTTATAACCTCAGTAAATCTATTCTCAGAGACTGTATTTTTAAAAATTTTATTTCTTCATTTATTTGAGAGAGAGAGAGAGGGAGCCTAAGTGGGGGGAGGAGTAGAGGGAGAGGGACAAGGAGACTCTGCACTGAGTGCAGGACCCTGAGATCATAACCTGAGCCCAAACCAAGAGTCAGATGCTTAACCAGCTGGGCCACCCAGGTGCCCCTCCAAAACTGTACTTCTAAAGATGTGCTCCCTATTACACTGCACAGGAAGCCAAGAAATCTGAGGTCTTGCATTATCTCTGGGTATTGGTAAAGTTGTGAAGTTGTGTGGTCTTAGGCAAGTTACCATCACGACCTGGGTTTCAGTTTATTCATCCATAAAAGATCTCTTCGCCTCCTCCTCCTCTTCCTCCTCTTCCTTCTTTTCTCTCTCTCTCTCTCGGTCTCTGTCTTCCCCCTTCCCCCGTCAGCGAATCCCAAATACTTAATAATGCTCCAAGGGACATCAGTCCTGAAATAAAAACCCTGAAAGCTTCCAGACAGAGAACTGTCCCTACTATTTTACTACCATTTTGTATGTCTCCTTCACTGGTTTATAAGCCATTCAAAAGCAAGCACTATGCTTTCTTTTTATACATCTGTGTACATCCTCCTACAAACACAGTATCCAATACAAAGTGGAGGTTTGATTAATGCTTATTGAATCAAGTTGTTGAACTCAGTTACTCAAGCGCAAGCTCTCTGCTAAATGCCTTTCCCACAAAATGTTCTGAAGGCTTACAGTTCAGGGGAGTACGGGGCTCCGTCAGTCCACAGCCAGGCTTTGCCACTGCCGTTGCGAGAGAGCCCTGTCCAATAAGAGTAGAAAAACTCAGAGTAGCTCTGAGGCATGGCAAACTCCTGTGAAAGGCACACAAGAAGACCTTTAGCTTTAGACATGTTATACTATGTATACACAGAGATGCGTAGGACCAGCCAGCACTTTTAATATGAGAACAGCACTCGAGTCCTGCCCCACATAGGTGATGGTACACTTGAGGGAAAAAGTGTCCGTGCTGAAGTCAGTCCAAGCTAAAGAATTTATCTTGTCTTAATAAGTTTGAATATATGCGGATATTCTAAAACCAACAATCACATCAAGCAAGATTTATAAATGACCCATTATTTTCAAGTCACAGAATAAACACTAAGATTTAGATAAAAAAATATGGGGGGCGGATTTACAAAGAGAGGTGGGGTGATTGCAAAATGGAAGAATACGGGAAGAGAAGTGTAAAAACGGGGACGTAATCTTTATAAATACATGCAAAGGGACTGACAGGAAGGAGAAGAGAATAATGAATATACTTTTTTTTTAAGATTTTATTTATTTATTTGAGAGAGAGAGAAACAGCATGAGAGGGGAGAGGGCCAGAGGGAGAAGCAGGCTCACCGCTGAGCCAGGAGCCTGATGTGGGACTCGATCCCAGGACTCCAGGATCATGACCTGAGCCGCAGGCAGTCGCTTAACCAACTGAGCCACCCAGGCGCCCCAAGAATGATGAATATACTTTAATGCAAGAAGAGGTAAGAGAAAATTTGGAAGGATGATTTATGTCTCAGACAAGGAAGGGGAGAAAGAGAAATTTTTCATATATGTGTGTGTGTATGTGTACTTATATTTTTGTATAGTATTTATATATACACACATATATCATTCTTTCTCTAATATCTATATTGATTTTTTTAAGATTTTATTTATTTATTTATTTATTTATTTATTTGTTTGTTTGAGGTGGGGGGAGGAGCAGAGGGAGAGGGACAAGCAGACTCCATTCTGGGCGTGGAGCCCAACTTGGGGCTTGATCTCACGACCCTGATATGACCTGAGCTGAAATCAAGAGTGAGACACTTAACTGACTGAGGGACCCAGGCACCCCTCTATATTAAATTTTTTAGTTACCTACTTCCTTCTATCCAGTCTTACTCTTTAACATAAATTATTTAAATTTATTATAATTATCAATTTTTATGTCCTTCCTTTCCACTATACTATGAGTTCCTTAAGGATACATACTTTGTTTTATGTCCTCAACCCTTCAGATAATTAATGCCATATGTTGATTCAATAAAAGATTATTGGAAATAGATATGAAACTATCACTAAGCAATAGTCATCTAGTAGGCATATCAAAGGAAGTGTAGTTGAAAATACTTCCAATTTATGGTAGACACCTCAAATTAAAAGTTCTAAAAATAAGTCATATGAAAATGACTTAAATATGTACAATTCTTTGAAGTGCATGAGACAAAATCACTATATAACTTACAACTTATATATAACTTATATCACTATATAATCACAATATTTCCTACTCCTATATATAATACAATTCAATTATAATATACCTGAATCCTCAGTATGTGCTAAAGGTGGAGGAAACAAAGAGTACAAGAAAAATCAGGTGGGCATAATTATGGTAGGACACATTGTCTCAGTCAAATTACTTCCCTTTCTGCTTAAATTGAGCCATTGAGAAAGGATAAAAAATATTATTTTAGTAGACGAGAGACACTTCAGAGTTGCATTCATCACAGATTTCAGAAAAGTGGGTAGGAATTAAAATGTAACGAGAAGGATGTTAAGAGTTTGCATAGTGAGCTGGGCATTTATTTCAGTTAAATAATCCTTTGTTGATAAACTACTCTGGGCCAAGACTTCTGCTAAAACAATGAAAAATAAATAATGGTCACACTGCTTAAGGGATTAAATCCAAAGGCAATAATAAATATTTTTAAAAAGGGTGGGAACAATTACACGATTTTAATAGTTTATCTTAACTGCATATACTTAATACATGTCAATTTATAATTTTACTTTCATATTTGCCTCGACTAATCTATGTTAGGTTATAAACTTCTGGAGGACAAGATATTTATCTGCAGGTTATAGTAATGAATTAATTAAATATTTTTCAATTAAAAGCTTTGTCCTTTTATAACGGAAGAACAGGAAATGCTATTTTCATCTTTCTAACCTTGCCTCAATACTGTGCCCTTCCTGCCCAAACCAAAAGCGGTAAGAAATTAAGGGATTTTTTATTTGATTCCTGATTGGTGGGGATTTTGAAGAGCTTCCTCTAGTGGTTTTTTGTTTGTTTGTTTGTTTGTTTGTTTGGAGAGCAGAACAGCTTTTACATACTCAGGGAATCACTAAAAACAATAGGAGTAAGACCTTGATTGCAGTAAGTGCAAAAGTCTGGGCACATTGACTCCTTAGACTCTTCTTGTATAGCTCTTTTAAGGAGCTCTTTTTCGAGAATAATTCAAACAGGAATCTTACCAGCACTTCTTGTGTGTTTATCTTCAGCATGGTCGCGTTCTCAGCGATGCAGAAATAGTCACAGCCCTGCCAATTCTTGCTCTCTCTACAGAATCGGTAGCATTTGTCCCCATGCCACTTCCATTCTTCTGGACAAGGGCTGCATCTGTGTTCTTGGAAAGAAGCCAATTTTAATGCTATTTTCTATCCAGGTCTGCCATCTTTCTGCCCCTGAAATTACATAGTACTTGATGATTCAAGTACTCTTATTATTTACTTTCTTTTAGATATTTAATTGCCCAGAAATGATAACTACAAATGTTTACCAAATACTCACTATATGCCAGAAATTGTAATTGGTACTGAGTATACAGTAAAAATTAAAACAGACACTACCTGCTTTCATGGACTTTGGAATCTAACAATACATGATTAGAACTTCCGTGCTTCTTGCCCTATATAATTCAGCACACAGAGGATGTTCAATTTCATAAAGAACTTTTCACATGTTCAAAAACCCATTGTGCCTTGTATTTAAGAAAGAACTGAAGCTTCCACAATTTTTTCCTCAAAATCCCCTTATATAATTATAAAAGGATTTTTTTAATGCGATATATACCAATAAGATATGGACTCTTCTCTTATTCTAGACACAAGTAAATAAAATTTTAGAAAAAAAAGACAAATATACTAAGCAAGGTATGACTTAGAATGGTAAATCTCCATGTGTCAGATTTTTTTTTTTTATTATTTATTTTGACAGAGAGAGATACAGCAAGAGAGGGAACACAAGCAGGGGGAGTGGGAGAGGGAGAAGCAGGCTTCCCGCGGAGCAGGGACCCCGATGCGGGGCTCGATCCCAGGACCCTGGGATCATGACCTGAGCTGAAGGCAGACGCTTAACGACTGAGCCACCCAGGCGCCCCTGACAGCCATGCTTTTAACACCGATGAGGATACATGGCCTTGGGCCTTTGAGAGTTCTGACTTGTAATCAACTCCCTGATGGTGGGATGAGAACTCAATCATTCCATAAAAATGTCTTTATTTTAAGAACAATCCAGTGTCAAAATGTTAACATGTTAAAATTTGAATGGTCAATATGCACTTGAATATTATGTTATTGTTTGCATTTTTGTATATTTGAAATCTTCCTTAAGGTAAAATAGTTTTAAATAAATAAATAATTGAGAGATTCCTTTGTGAGTCAGTTCATATTTCCGGCCCAGACCTTATACCAAACTACTTACTCAGATCTCCACTTCAACATGCCCAAAACAGCATCCCTAACCTTCCCCACTCGTAACCACAGAATTCTTCCCGTTTCACTTGATCACATCTCTTGTAATTGCTTTGCCCCCAAACTCTGGAAGTATCCTTGACTCCTTTATTTCTCTCATGTCACCTTTTATTCCATCATGCATTCATCTCCTCTAATAATATCCTAGTTTGAGGCAACATCATCTCTCTCCTGGATTACTGCAAAAGCCATCTCTTAGGTGATTTCTCTTTTTATTTTTCCTTCTTCCAGTGTATTTTCAACATATTTGCAGAGTGAGCCTTTAAATGCTCGTGTCAGATCTATATTTCCTCTGCTCAAGATCCTGTAATGAATCCTTATTTTGCTCAAAATAGAAGCCAAATCCCTAATAACATCACCTAACGCCCTATATAATCACTACCACATCTCCTATCAGTCCTCTCCTCCTTCACTCTGCTCCAGACACACAGACTCCTAATTGTTCCCTGAACATGCAGCTCCATTCATTTCAGGGCTCCTGCACTTCCTGTTTTCTCTACCTGGCTTCTGCTTTTTTCATGTATCTACATGGCTAATTCCCCTAAGTCTTCAAATCTTTGCTCCTATACCCTCATCTTAATTAGGAATTAAGTATTAATTAATTAATTGTATCCCTACATAAATTAGCAACCCACCATCCCTGAATCCCTGATGCCTCATACCATATCTACTTTATTTTCCATAGGATTGATTACCTTCTTACATACTATGTTTAGTTTGACCAACCATTCTTGCATGTCTGAAACCTAGGCTTTCCCAAAATGTAGGAGTTTTAATACTAAAACTGGAAGAGTTTTGAGCAAACTGGGACAAGTTGATCATCTTATTTTACCTTTTTAAATTGATTTATTACCACCACCCCAATTGAGTAAGAGGTCTATGAGGGGAGAAATCTGTGTATGCTTTGCATGGCATGCATCAGTAAATCTTACCTTGTGTGGAAGAGTAGATGGATGGATAATGGGAAAGAAATGGAGAGCAGCAGGATAACACTGAGAACTAACATCAAACCAAAGGTATATGAACATTTTCATGGGAATAGGGATATCATTAATACATTTGCATGTTAGATTTTATATTTAAACAAAATATAGTTTATTTGTATATACAGCTTTCTTTTTGTCTTTATACAACTAGATGTAAATTCCAGAGACCACTGGTTTCAGAGAAACCTGGATTATCTTTTGATGACATGGCACCCAACAAAGAAAACAATATACAGTGGGTTGTCGGAAACACAAGAAGAAAAACAAAACTATATGAAGTGGTAGATGTATTAATTATCTTGGCCTTGATAATCATTGTATAATGTATAGGTATATCAAATAATCACATTGTACACTTTAAATATACACAACTCCATGTGTCCATTATTCCTCACTAAAGTTAAAAAAGAAAAGAAAGAAAACTGTGACCAGTGAGATCATTAATCATGTGGGGAAGAATCACTTAGAGAAGTGGAAATGTGCCTGTGGGTGTTATTTTACTGGGTAATCACGCAATCTGGCCTTCTGGTTAGTGTGGGAAAGGAAGATTCATCCTAATTTCAAGTCCCTGAAAGACAAAGAAAAAGTGACAACTTCGAATGTATGTTGCTTCCTATGCGTGCAAGATAAGCAGAACAGAAGAGAAGGCTAACATGAATAGAGTTAGACACTATGAAACCCCCAAAAAAAGACAGGAGGAAAAGGCACAGGAATGAGGTAATGCGTCTAGTCTTGTCCAGAGGTGGTTATCAAAGCATGGTTCATCTTCCAATGGCATTGTCATCATTATTGAAATGCCAATTTATGGTACCCAGACAAGGCACAGTGGATTTAAATACCTGTAATTTGATTCCGTTCATCAGTATTTTTAACCTGATCCCATATAACTCTTAAAATGTGAGAGCTTTCATGGCTCATTAACTTCTTAAGGGGAAAAAAAATTATGAACGCATTATGAAATGTATACTACTGTTAGGTCTTTGTGTACCTAGGTAAATTGAGAAATAACCCTGTGTTTTATTTATTTGCAGTGTTATTTTGGTTATTTGAAGTTAATTGGGTTTTTTTTGTTTAAAATGTCTGAATCTGAAGAATCCGTTTATGTATTACAACACAGACCTATCTGAACTAAATGATCCCAATAACTGGGGATTGACCTGGGTGCCCAAATTCTTCATGAAGTTTGCCTGACAACTAACTAAATAACTTGTGACTCCCAGGCATACGGATGGGAAAGTCAGTTCTATAATAACAGCTAGCCTGAGCGCAGAGGCAGCTTAGTGATCGGGACTCACCTCCACTTTTGTTATAGAGCTCTCGACACAGTTTTTCAGCCACGCGCTGTAGGATTTCTGCAAGCTTCCTGTTCTTGGTTTGGAGAGACTGCAGCTGTCGGGAGAGATTCCCCAGTCTTTCTTCCTTGTGAGAAATGCTGTCTTGCTGAGTATTGGAAAGCTGATAGAACTGAAAAACTAACCCAAGTTACCAAGTCAGACTGGACAGCTGATTTCTTCATTTCTATTTCTACTTTTTACATATGGGGGAAGACAAAACATCGTATTGTTTAAGATCTCATGCTCTGAGATTTCATTTTGCCTGTGTTCAAATTTGAACTGAAGCACATAATAAATTGCACTGTCTTGGGCAAATTAATGTCTCTAAGTCTGTTTTTTTAATCTGAAAATGTAGAATCTTAGTAACAGTTTCTAACTTCAGGACTAAATTCCTTAACCATATTTACTGCTCAATAAATATGTTGTGTCTACTCTTAAACCACTGCTTAATAAAACCACAAATCCATTTATCTATTGATTATTATACTGAGCATTGACAGTGTACCATATATTGTTATCTAATTCATTCATTAAAAGAGTCATATTATCATTTCCATAGTTTTATAGCTTCCAAATTGGGCTCAGTGAGAACAACTGGGCTCAGTGAGAACAAGCAATTTCCATAGTATCCCTTGGCTAGAAAATTTCAACACTTAGGTTTAAGCTCCAGATTTCTAAATCTAAGTAGAGAAATCCTTCATGAATCATGAAAGTTGATTTATATCCCTAAAAGGAATGGTGGTTGTGAAACAAATTATATCAAAATGAAGTAAAAATTGGGGGCCATGGTAGAAACACTAAGAAACATTTTTTTTTTAATTTTAAAAAGTTACAATAACAAAGGACAGTTCTAACATTTCTTAGAAAAACCAAATGTTTGACCTGCTCTTCAGGGTAACCTCTTCACCTTGAGCCACCTTCTTCAACTGCTCAGGAAACATTACTGTAGGGTCTCAATCTCATGAAGCAAATTCACCCACTTCCTTTTTTTTTTTACTTTTTGAACTTGTCTTTACTTGTTTGAAATTTAAAGACTTTTTCACATGCATGCATTTTTCCTTGTTTGGCTTTCACAAGATTTTACGAAATGATCCTGTAATTTCCTGGACTTTTTTGAAAAATACTGTAGAAATTAAGGACCTATTCTGCTCTCCTTATATTGAGGGAGTAGATATAAATGAAATCTCTTCTCTCTGTATTAGCTGCTGAGCTATGCGTACTAAGAGCAAAAACCACAGCCTGTACTCTTGTAGAATTTGAAAGAGAGATAAATCATGCATTCATTAAAAACTGCTGATTTTAGGGGCTCAGTCAACCGACTCTTGATTTTGGCTCAGGTCATGATCCTAGGGTCTTCAGGTGAAGACCCTAGTGCAGCTCTGTGCTCCGTGTGGAGTCTGCTTAAGATTCTCTCTCCCCGACTCTCTCTGCCCCTCCCCCTCCACAGAGCCTTTCCCCTGCCCCACTCCCCCAAAAAACTGCTGATTTTAAATATTGACATGTAAACAAACAGATAAAACCTGCTTATCTCAAACAGAATGTAAAAGTCTAGCTGGCAAGTGATTGCTGTATTTTAATGCTTCTTTCACTGCTCGTCATTTCAATGAGTGCTTTAGAATAAGGTATATTGAATTATCCATGGGCTCCAGAATTAAAGTAAAAAAAACAAAAAAACAAAAAAACAAAAACATAACAAGTATTTCTCATCCTAGACAAACCTTAGAACCAGGATCCTCCCCCAAGTCAGGGCGCAGACTTACACACAAGCCCCAGGGCTAACAGGCCAATCAGCAGCACCAAACACAAAGTCAGCAGGGTCAGGGCCACCGGACGCCAAACTGAAGAGGGAGGCCGGCGCTCTGCAGGGAACAAAGAGGAAAAGGCAGGATTTCGCTTTTTCTTTCTCTTGGATCCATTCCACCAGCAAGTCAGAAGAGCTGGTTCTGGGAAAGAACAACAGTAAGCAGGGGCTAGATAACACTCCCTCTGTCCTCAGAACACTGTCAAAAGGCTCAGTGCCAAGCCTCCCTTCCACAGCGGGATTCCCTCACACGCCCCGCCCATTTCCATAGCCCCAACGCCACCAGCAGTTCCACTACGGAATCAAATTACGCATTGCCCTTATCTTTAAAAGGTTGTTTGCATAACCTTCTTTGCGTGAAAATTCGAGTTATGAAAGACATAGAAATGCCTGAACGGGGAACCGTTTTTCGTATCATCAGAGAAGAGATGAAATTAATTTGTTGTTACTTTCGCAAAACGCCTTCCCACCGAGTTCCATATGTGCTTCTTCTTTTTTTTTTTTTTTTTTAAAGATTTTATTTATTTATGTGTCAGAGAGAGACAGCGAGAGAGGGAACACAAGCAGGGGGAGTGGAGAGAGAGAAGCAGGCTTCCAGCAGAGCAGGGAGCCTGATGCGGGGCTCGATCCAACGACGCTGGGATCATGACCTGAGCCGAAGGCAGACGTTTAACGACTGAGCCACCCAGGCGCCCCCCCCGTATGTGCTTCTTCTGAAAAGAAAATTGCATATCAGTAATGAGAAATGATCATTTGACTGTTTCCTTTTTGGGATTGCTTTGTTGAAAGTCCCTCTTCTATAAGGATTTTGTTCATTCATTTGATTTCTATCTCTGCAAAAATGGATTATAAAGAGACATGGTCATCAGTTTCTTGAGGATGGATCTAAGCTATCTCAATTTTGAACAGTTAAATAATAAGTGCCACGCCCCCACGAATTTGCCTTCTGCTAATTGAAGAGGCTACCGAGTCAACAGTGAACCCATCATCGCCTAGTGAGACTGTTAATCTAAATGACCTGTGATATCAGACAAGGAAGACCCTCCCACTCCCATCCCCTCAGGTACACATAGCATCTAGCATTGTGATTAAAATGAAACAAAGGGAGAGCAACACCCTCAAAGAAACTGGTGTCTCCAAGACCTGTGTTTCATTTCATTGGGAAATGAAGTCATGTTCTTTTTAAAAATTTTTTTTTCTAAATTTTATTTATTTATTTGACAGAGCACACAAGCAGGGGGAGGGGCAGAGGGAGAATCAGACTCCCCGCTGAGCAGGGAGCCTGATATGGGAGTTGATCCCAGGACCTGGAGATCATGACCTGACCCAAAGGCCAACGCTTAACGGACTGAGCCATCCAGGCATCCCTTGAAGTCATGTTCTAATACAAAAAGATTAAAGACATATAAATTCTTTTCCTCTTTAGCACAGTCCTTTATGTAATGCAGTCTAGGTATAGAAGTTTCTGTTACACATTATTTCCAAATGGGGAATGGTAAGTGGGAAAGATAAAAATGGAAAATGTGATTACTATCCTTTGGAATTTACAGTCTAGTAGGAAAAATCATGGAGCAGACATTGAGATTGATATATAAAAGTCAATCTTATTTTCTCTTAATAATTATCTCCGTTAAAAACTTTCAATGGATTGCATTACAGTTGGAATAAAATCCAAATCATTCTTCGTGAAGATTCAGATTTCTCTTTTTAACACAATTTGAAATTTGAAGTTACGTTATTTCCCAACTTAAAAACTTCCAATAACTTTTTTGCACTTAAAATTACAAGTCTTTTTCTTCTGGACCCAACCTACTTCTTTCATCCTTTTCCGAACTACCCTCCCCTCACTCAAGTGTTCTACTCACTGGCCTCTGTTTATCCTTGAAACAAAGAAACTTATCCCAGTCCTCATACCTTTGAGTGAGCTCTCCTCTGCCCTGCATTAATTAATACTCAGAGCACGTGTTGGTAGGCTACTCCCTGCTACTCAGCTTTCCACTTAAAGGTGCATCCTTGGAAGAGCTCCATGAGTTCATTTCTAATACATAACCCCTTTACATATATTTTTTAAAAATAAGATTATTAATATTTTCATGGCTTTCATGTGTTTGTTTTCGTTTATATCCTCCCTCCCATTGAAGGTACATTCCATGAAAACAGTGATATTGTCTGTCTTGCTTACCAGTATATTTCCAGGACTGAAAGTAGTTCCTTGCACATAAGGGCTGAATACATATTTGAATGAGTAAATGAATGAAGAATGAAATTGTGAAAACTTAATATGACTTAAACTATGTAATTTTTAGAGCAGCACAGAGGATTATCTAAAGTTAAACTTCGTTGATTTTTTTTTAAATCTATTGACCTTTCAGCAGTATTTCTGACAGCAGAAGGTGGACTCAGCTAAATTTATCTTCTAGCCATACTAGTCTCTATTCACTGACTTGTGTGAGATTCTGAATCATGAACAGATATTAGAGATATTTGCTTTCTCCCCTATTTTCTTCAATTAGCTTACCTATGTAGTTTGGTCTAAATTTTCCTGGAAATTGTTGATTTCTCAAGGCATTGACCTAAAGAGTATCTCAAATCAGCAGAACATAAAAGAACAAGATCAGAGGGCAGAATACAGCTTAAGCTAAACATTCTCTCCAAACCCTAAGTCTCTTGAAAGTTCTGTGCAACCCAAGAAACTTGAGTAGGTGGATGGTTCTAGATTTCAGAACTACAAGTGCATATGTGGACCCACCACCATGATGGCTTTATTTTTCTCCATAAATCTTATTACTATCAAATATATTATATATCTTACCCATTTCTTCTGGTTTATAGCTGTAGAAAGTAAGCTCCTTTTGAAGAAGGTTATTATAGTCTATTTAGTCACTAGAAGAACATCGATTCTAGCACCTAGAACATCAGATGGAAGAAGCTCAATTAACGTTGAATGAATGTGTCAACTATATATAAATATCTGTTACATGCCTATCTACCCCTGCTCAAACCTATTTATATTAGTACACATCTGAAAGGCATAAACTATTTTTTAAGTATTTTATTTATTTATTTGAGAGAAAGAGACAGAGCAAGCAAGAGCAGGTGGGGCAGAGGGAGAAGGAGAGAAAGAATCTCGAGCTGACTCTGTGCTGAGCACAGCTGGATGTGGGGCTGGATCTCAAGACCCTGAGATCATGACCTGAGCTGACACCAAGAATCAGTCACTTAACCAACTGAGCCACCCCAACACCCCAGACATAAACTTTTTTTTAAATGTTGTTCCTTCTTGTAATTGATATTTCCCTGGCCAAATATTATAAATAATAAGAGGGTAAAAGAACAACCATGGAAATCAACCAAATTATCCCTTAAGAAACCTGCTTTTCCTTGTATAATACAGGGGCAAGAGAAATGCTGATCTTCTGCTCAAAGGATCAAAAAGAATAATCTTAAATCCTTACTGTGGAATGAGGGCATGGACTTAAGGAATTAGAATATTATTTAATAATAATTATATCCATGTAAACAGATCATCCTTCCTAAGGTTGTCTCTAGGACAGAAGATGTAAGTAGTATATGATATCTTCTGCTAAGGAACAAAGTTTTAAAAATTCCCTTCCAATGAATCATCTTTCCCTGGTCATTTGGAAATTTTTCTACTCTGACTCTCTTCTCTCTCTCTCCTTCTCTCCCTTCTTCCTCCTTCCCTTTCTACCTCCCTGCCTCCCTTTCTCAATATTCACAATCTCTTTGTTTTATCTCAGGACCCAGAAAAACACAACCCTAGGGAGTTTCTACAGCAGATATGGCAATTTCCTAGGAACCTTGGCTTCCATGATGGAAAGACCATAGAGTTGAAAGTTTCATTTTTTTTTTTTTTTAACTGTAGAGAACAAACTGAGGGTTGTTAGAGGAGAGGAGAATGGGGGGATGGTCTAAGTAGGTGATGGGGATTAAGGAGGGCACTTGTGATGAGCACTGGTTGGTGTATGAAAGTGATGAATCACTAAATTCTATACCTGAAACAAAAAGAAAAAAAGAAAGTGATGCTTTTTGATGCTGTTTTTCCCTCTATTTTCCTAACTATAGGTTCAATATCCCTAAATTTTATTCCAAGTGCCTTGACCATAATGAGGTCTCTCTCTAGGGACCACCCACACCCTAAAGTAAGAAAAATAAGCTGCCTGGGAGGTGCTTCAGTTTGGCTTGGCTTTACTGTGGTTTTATTTTTTGGAAGAGAACCTCTATTCTGTCTCCTGAGGCATGTTTAGAAAAAGGTGTGGACAGGGCAAGGAATGATATAAACATCCTTAGGAATAATAAGATATATATAGAAAAAAAAAACACTGCTTTCCTGTATCCTTTTACTGTAACTATACTATAAAAGGCTACAGTGCTAAGGCCAAGTTTTGAACACAAATTCCTTTGTAGATATAAGAAACTTTGTAGATGAAGAGTTGTCATACTTGACCAGTTACTCTTCATCAGGCATCAGAGAGGGGAAATTTTATACACTTCCATTCCCAGAGCCAAGGAGAAATGAAACATATATTACCAGATATAGTCTATTACTATGACTCTGAAATAGCATAATAAAAGCTGGAAAAGACACAAAGACTTTATTTTTTTTAAGATTTTTTTTTTTTTATTTGAGGGAGATCTAGAGAGAGGGAGAGAGAGAGAGAGAGAGCTCAAGAGCCCAAGCAGGGGGGAAGAGCAGAGGGAGAGAGAGAAGCAGACTCCCCGCTGAGCAGGGAACCCACTGCAGGACTCCATCCCAGGATCTAAGGATCATGACCTGAGCCACCCAGGAGCCCTGGAACAGACAAAGAAACTTGAGATAATTTGTACAAAGCCACATTGCAAAATAAGGGCAGAACCAGGATTAAATTGTCGTGCTTAACACCACACTTTGTATACTTCTTCTTGACCAGGACTCAGACAATTGGGGACTAAACTGGTGACAAAGTGCATAATATTTCAGAAATTACTTTTAATATTTTTAATCATGAGACATTGCTGATTGGATATCTGACTTTTGGATATATTTTTAAATTTTAAATGTTGTCTTTTCAGCAACTTCCTGTTGTTTCCTTAATCCTCACATATGGCACATAATAAATCTCCTCATGGGAGAATATTCAACGTTCTATGAGTTGAGAGCATTTTTCAGTGTTTGTGAAACTGCAGGTTTTCTTTATCTTATGAGTCTATTTCAAATATGTGATCTTTTCATTCTCTCTAAAAGTAAATGGGTGTTATTCTTCCTATAATTTCAAAGGAATATACATCCAAAATGTATAAGCTATTTCCAGAATATCAAGTTTTCAATTCATGGCAATTAGAAAGTCAAATATATATATATATATATATTAGAATGACATATAGTGTCTCTCTCTGTCAAATAAATAAATATAATCTTAAAAAAAAAGAAAGTCAAATATATATATATATTGGTATATATAGTAAAATTTAGCTGAGTCAATTTTTATATCCCAATTAGGGAGTTTCATTTATGAAATATAATTTAAAAATAGCATCACTATTAATAACGATTGCTAACACTCCTTGAGTTACTAAAATAAATGCCTTATATGCATTATCTCATATCATGGAACACCCTATGAATAGATATTATTATGGTCCCTACTTTACAGGTAGGTAACCGAGTCCTACGGGGGTGAGCTACCCTACCCAAGGACACACAGCTTCTGATAATAACAACTCCTGAGTGTATTATGTATGCTGTAGTGTTTCATTTGACTCATCCAAAAATTATTTAAGTTGGCACTATTTTTAACCTTTGTTTGGATTTTTAAAAACTGCAGTACCTAAGAGTTGCTTAATCTGCTTTGGTTTGCATAGTCAGTAAGTGATGGAGCCAGAAGTACTAATACTCTCCTTCCAGATCCGAATATTTTAAATCATTTTCCTATCCTCCCAACAAATCCCACATTAATATTTGCCCTTTATGGCAGTTCCTTATGAAATTGTAGAAAGGCTTTAGTGTTTTACTTCTTACTACTTTCCACTTCTTTATTATGAAATATCTCAGGAATAGCCACCTTAAATTATACATTCTCCACTCTACCCCCAAGGTGAACTTTCTCAAGTATAAATTTAATCTCTTCCTTAAGGAAAAAAAAAAAAGTTTCTTAGCATGCTACATAAGACCCTGCATAGTAGGATCCCGTCCTATTTTTCATTTATTTTATTTTATTTCATATTTTTTAAAGATTTTATTTATTTATTTGACAGAGAGAGAGAGAGAAGCAGACTCCCTGCGGAGCAGGGAGCCTGATGTGGGACTCGATCCCAGGACTCCAGGATCATGACCTGAGCTGAAGGCAGACGCTTAACCAACTGAACCACCCAGGCACCCTTCTGTCCTACTTTTTAGCCTCATCTGCCCACATGCCCCCTCATATACCCCTCCCTTTGAGGACTAACCATTCCTCAACCCAATAATCTACCCTGCCATTGTGTATGAATCATCTGCTGATGATTCCCCAAATGATCTTATCCTGTTCTAAATTCCAATCCACAAATCACACTTCCTCTTTTCCCTCTGAATTCTTGTCTTTCTTAATTTTACCCATTAATACACTGCACAATGCTAGCTCTTATCTATCTGCTTTTATCTTTGCACATCTAGTCCTCACAACTAGTTTCCATCTTGCTCTGCCTGGAAAACTTGGACTCAGTCTCACAGACAAGAGCAAATGTCATCTCATTAAAAAATACCCACATGAGTAAACGGAGTCCGTAACTTATTCATCCCTATTTGCTTCTGTGGTCTCCTACATATATTCAATAGCACTACATAACATTTACTTATAATTGATTCAAATTCTTCCTTCCACTTCTCAAAGCACCTAAAAATAGGGTCTCCCCATAAATACAGAAAACAAATGGATGGTTGCAGGAGAGGAGGCAGGTGGGAGGATGGACAAAGTGAATGAAGGGGAGTGGGAGGTACAGGCTTCCAGCTATGGAATGACTAAGTCAAGGGATAGAAGGAACAGCATAGGAAATAAAATGGATGGTATTGTAATAGTGCTGTATGGTGATAGATGGTAGCTACACTTGTGGTGAGCACTGCATAATGTATAGACTTGTCAAATCATGTTGCACACCTGAAACTAAGGTAACGTTTTGTGTCAACTATACTTCAATAAAAAAAGTGTCTCCCATGCCTATCATACCACTTGATATTAAGTAAGTATGCACTAGGGCGCCTGGGTGGCTCAGTGGTTAAGCATCTGCCTTCAGCTCAGGTCGTGGTCCCAGGGTCCTGGGATCAAGAAGCAGGAAGCCTGCTTCTCCCTCTCCCACTCCCCCCTGCTTGTGTTCCCTCTCTCGCTTTGTCTCTCTCTGTCAAATAAATAAAAAAAATCTTTAAAAAAAAAAAAGAAAAAAGTAAGTATGCACTAAAGATTTGTTGAATCAATTAGATGTGATGTGAATCAATTTATGCTATGACACTTCAATGAAGGGTTTATGCTTTAGCTGAGGAAGTGAGGCTAAAAAGCTAGAGAAATTTGAGAATACTGTAATTAATGTAAGTAGGGGGAAAGTAGAACTTGAATTTACTATTAAAGGGTTTTTATTTTTTTCTTAAACCCAAATAGGTTTTCATATTCTTTTGATAGGTTTATATTTAGTCTTCAGTAGGAATTTTAGCCTATCAGTGATTTTATTCTTTCTCTCCCTGATATATTATTACCGTGATGCACTTTTGCTGTACTTCTTTTCAAGCTGCAATTGAGTTAGAATCTCACTTTTTTTTTTTTAAAGATTTTATTTATTTATTTGACAGAGAGAGACACAGCGAGAGAGGGAACACAAGCAGGGGGAGTGGGAGAGGGAAAAGCAGGCTCCCCGCTGAGCAGGGAGCCCGATGTAGGGCTCGATCCCAGGACCCTGGGACCATGACCTGAGCCTAAGGCAGATGCTTAACGACTGAGCCACCCAGGCGCCCCTAGAATCTCACATCTTAAAAAATAATTTTAAAATACATTCACACAAACTCATAATACATCAGGTCTAACACTTTATCTTTTCTCTTTATAGCTGGTTTCTCAAAAAGAAAGAAATTAAAAAAAAAGAAAATGACAAATTATTTATTTTCCTATTTAACTATGGTCCTTTCAAACACCTGCTATTAAAAATCACCAATAATCTATTTTTCTCCTTATTGCTAAAACAATATATTGTTTTTAACCATCCTTTTACTTGAAATTTCTGCAGTATTTATTGCTTATTATTTTTAAAATTCACTGTTTGTTACCATTGACTTTTCCATCTCACATGAAGTTATTGTTTCTTGGCTTCCTTAATGTCTCTCTCTCCTGGTCCACTTCTACCACTGTCTGCCATTCATTCTTAGTAGCTTTTATTGAAATCTCTCAGTATCCCTCCCCTCAGTTGGTATATTGCCTAAGATTCTCTCCTTGATACTCTATTCCTTTGGGCTTTTTGGCTTTTCATTTTACGCTCTCATCCTCAGTGATCTTGCTCATTCTCAGAAAGTTTAATTCTTACCAAAATGTCAACAATTCTCACATACAAACGTAGCTCAGAATCCTTACCTGCACCCCACATGCAGCATATGCAAGTGTCTTCGGGCAAATACAACTGCACATTCCTTCTCTTCCAGGCATCTCAAACTCAAATTGGATTCATCATCATTCTTAATTCCTCCTGTAGCTTCTATCTCAGTTATCAGCAGCGCTATCTACATAACATCCTATGGGACCTAGTCAACCTATGTTTTTCTTTCCTTGTCTTCCCACTTCTAACCAGTCGCCAATTTTTTAAACTCTACCTCCTCAGCATCTGATTCCTCCTCCTCATTCCCATACTACTTCAGTTCAGATTCCTCTAATCTCATGTTTAGACTAGTGCGAAATACCTAGCTATTAGTTCATCCAATTTCCTACTCCTTCAATTCATCCTCCTCATTGCAGCCTAGATGGTCTTCTAAAAACACAAAATTCATTATGTCACTTCCTGTTTAAATCCTTCCATGAGCTCAATTTATGGACTTAGAATCAAAATACCTGAGTGTAATATAATAGGCCCTTTATAATTTTCTATACTTACTTCTTGTCAGCGTCTTCCTTCTCCAACTCTACACATCAGCCAGAACACATTGCTTATTGTTCTCCCAAAACACAAAGTTACTTAAGAATTCCATGGCTTTTCTCTCATGTATCTGTCTGACTATGTCAGCCCAACCCCTTAAACCCTCCCATTTTTGCTTTCATATAATGTGGAACATATTAAAGTCAATTCAACTCAATGGCCATTTCCTCCCTCAAACCTTTCCTGATCTCCTTTACCCCTACCAGATAGAAGTGACCAAGCTCTCCATTGTATCATGTATATACTTCTATCGTGGCACCTTATCATACTTATTTCATAGCTAAGAGTTGTATTAGACTTTTAAGTTTCCTTATAAACAGGGATCATATCATATTTGGCATTATACCCTTAGTACTTTGCAATAAACCTGGCATAGTATGAACCTGAGCATAACATGAACATGAAACTTTCTTTGGAAAGGAGGTATGAGGATGTTGTCTTTCACTTTTCCTTTTTATCTTCTTAATTGTTCAGCATTTTTAAAGATGAACATAACTTTTATATTGAAAAATGAAAATCTGGAAAATAAATGAGTATACATAATTTATTTTTATTAATTCTAAAGAAAAAATTTAACTTTCCAGTCATAATGGTATCACAACATTATGTTGAATTTAAATTTTCTTCATTGCCAAAATATTCTTGGAATGATTTTTGCTTTGTTATTTTTAATAGCAAAATTGTATCAAATCATTTTTCTAAGAAATAACTAAACTTCTGTAGTGACATTCCTCTACATATTTGCATTATCACAAGATGAAAACAAGGTATCATACGTGTAGGGTAAGATTACTATTTCCAGAGGTTTGCCTTCAAGACACTTCTTTGTAACCTCTACTCCTACTGTTTCAGTTTCCACTTCTTACGGAAAGATTGCCAGATGTTTCGGTAAGTGTTTTATCCTGCCCCACCTACCTCACCACCCTTGAGCTCAGCAGAACTTATTTGTACACTCTGTTCCTGATTATGCTGATCACCAATCCTTGTGAGAATTCCGGGCTCTCGTCAAAAGTGAAAAATGAAGTTATACACAAGCCACTTAAAACCACAACCCGGAGACCGGATTCTTCACAGGATTTGTTGGAGGAAAACATAACGTATCTTATTACACGTATCCTGTAACTGACAGACTGCTACAGAAACTGACATCCCAAAGTTGTCATTTGCTTCACATCAAGGAGGCTGGAAGTCCCCAGTATCTTCTTATAGCTTAGTAGATAGTTTACTAAAAAGAGAAAAATAAAATAAAGTCACACCAGTGAGTCTCAGGTGGTGATCAGTCAGTGAATAGAAAGGGAATGAAAAAGTTTAACAGGGGAAAAGGAAGAACACCTAAAAGCTATGTGATAAAGGAGAAGTGGGAGAGAACAGTGAAAAGGTATGTGCCCAGATTTCTAGAGGTGAAGAAAACCTGAGTGTGGTCAAAAGAGAAAGGACATACTAAGATACAGTCACTGAATGAGAATCTCTCTGATGCCGACTGACACAAAAATGTTAAACAGAGCACTTAGGAATTCTTGAGGAATGGAATACTGAAAGAAAATGCACATTTCTGGTGTGTCTGCAATATGCCAAGGACTTTACATAACCTAGCAACCTTATACTCCAACCACCTTATAAAAGAGCTGTTTGAATTGAATTATAAAATATTTAATTTGGGGGCACCTGGGTGGCTCAGTCGTTAAGCGTCTGCCTTCGGCTCAGGTTATGATCCCAGGCTCCTGGGATCAAGCCCCACATCGGGCTCTCCGCTCGGGGGGAAGCCTGCTTCTCCCTCTCCCACTCCCCTTGTTTGTGTTCCCTCTTTTGCTGTGTCTCTCTCTGTCAAATAAATAAATAAAATCTTTAAAAAATATATTTAATTTGTTACATTTAGCTTCCAACTTATACTTTCATTTCCAATAATTCGCCTTCTGACATGGTAATAAAAATATTTTTTTTCACTCCCTACAAGAGAGAATTCACATACATAGAGAAGGATCTTATTTCCTGGGCAACTCAGCCAAGGTAAGGCAGAAATGTGACTTGAGTTCTAGTGAGTGGAGAGATCGCACAGTAGAACACAAACAGGATGATGTTCTCATACCAGGTGTGCCGCTTACAAACTGTGATACTGGGGACACCTGAGTGGCTCAATCGGTTAAGCATCTACCTTCGGCTCAGGTCATGATCCCAGGGTTCTGGGATCGAGCCCCGCATCGGGCTTCCTGCTCAGTGGGGAGCCTGCTTCTCCCTCTCCCACTCCCCCTGCTTGTGCTCTCTCTCTCTGGCAAATAAATAAATAAAATCTTAAAAAAAAAAAACAAGCCTGTGATATTGGACAAGGTACTTAAGTATTCTGGGGCCTCAGTTTCTTCATTTACAAAATGTTACTGATAGTAAACATGTATATAGTGAGCATTATGTGCCTGGAATTATTTTAAGCACTTGTATACATAAAGTGCCTCTCTTACAAGATGGTTGGAGTATAAGGTTAATAAGTTATGATATATATACATATGCTGAGTTGTCCAGGAAATAAGATCCTTCTTTATGTATGTGAATTCTCTCTTCTATGGACTGGAAAATAATAAAAGGGAATGGGATGGGATATAATTGCATCTGAGGCCACTATTTAGATCATCAAATCACAGAATTTTAGAGCTAAAAGACAACTTCAAGATGCAGAATTATGACAACAATATACCAGGGTTGGTGTGTCTGCTTGGAAACCTCCCCCTAAAGCATGAGTTCAAAACTAGCAAAAAGATAGCCTTTATAAATTCAAGTTTCCAGATCAAATCACAGACGGTAAATAAAACAGCATTGGATCAGGCCTTCACAGGAAGCCAGGAAGAAGAAGGAACACTGCTTTAATTCTACATACAACCTCACTTTTGTATACTATACCGACTTGGTAAAAACAACACACTCTCAACTACAAACCACTGTGCCAACAACAAAATCTTAGGAAAACAAACATCTGTGTATACACTGAGTTTAATTTTTCAGATGTTCATATACGTGGCACACGAGTTGTGGAAAATGCACAGTTACACATAAGTGTGAGTCATGAAAACACTCTCTCTTTCCCTCACTTTGCACATTCCTCGGATAGTTCATCTCATGTATTGCTCAAGAGTCTGACCAATTTGGACTGCCGGAGATAGAATACCTGTGTGCCCAGCCTCTGGCCGCTGGGTTGTAGAAGAGCTTCGAGATTGTACACTCCTGATGGTATCCCCATCAAAGTCCAGCATGTCCCTTGTGCTGCTGTACTTGGCCTGCATCTGGACTCCTGCAGGGGTGAGGTTGAGCTGCAGTTTGATGGTCCCCAAGCTGTGTAGCTACTGTGAGACAGTGTAGGAAGTACGGCGCTGAAAGTCATTCCTAATGTTCTTCTCTCCTGGCGAGAAGCAGGGGAAGCCTCTGACTCCAGTTCCTGCTTAGAGAGGCCCAGCCCCTCTCCTGGGAACTTCTACTCTGAAGGTCAACTTCGTCAGGCAGGGGGGAAATAGCATGTGTTTTCTATGTGGGCGGTCTCTTTCTGAACAATTATTGAAGGGTTGCCCTTCTCGGATCTCTTTTGTTCATTTATTTGTAATTCCTGTGTAAGTACAGTATAAAAAAGGCAAGACCCTATAATCACACAGAGATTCCTTCAGGCTCTGTGGAGCAATAATCAGGCAGAGGAATACATATCACCTAGTCCTTCTATACCAGGCACTCACTGAGTCGCTTAGATGAGGTTTAACTTCTGAAAAGAGATCATAGGACCAGCCTCTTCTTTTCTCCAAGGGCATAGTATAAAGCATCATATACATGGAATGTCAGCACAGAGTCTTTTTGAGAATATCTATTGATTCTACTTTTGCATTTTACAAAAAAGAAGATCGAAGCCCAGTTAGATGAAGTGGTTGTTTTAAAGTCACATAGCTGCTTAGTGACAGTATTAGCTTCAAAAGTGTTCTCCTGTTGGATTTCTCCAGGAACAAAGGAGCTGTCAGGTGCCATTTCCCTCCCCTGCCCTTCAGCATAAACAACAACCGCCTGCAGAAACCAGTGTGGTGCCTAATTTGCTAACACACACCCCCCTAACCCCTAACATCCCGCCCCACCCACACTGCTTCAGAAGATCCGCCCTTTCTAGTTATGTTCACCTCAGTCTCAGCACTGCAGGTGCCCTCCCCTAGAAGACCAGCACAAGCTTGGCCAACACCCAGTCTCCTGCCCCCACACACCTCGCAGGACCTTGGGCCAGCTTTGGTAGTGACAGTGGTAGGACTGAGTACCACAGGAGACCAACTGTTAACACTGTGTGCCCTGCCCATGCATTCTTTACAGATCTGCCCTAGTCAAGGCAGTGGTGGTGGCCGGTCTCACTTTGCAAGCAGACCAGTATGCACCCTGTTAAAACTGTGGACCATGCTCTGGCCAGTGCGAGAGGCAGTGGCATGTCTGCTCCAATACACTCTTGGGCAGAACAATTCAAACTGGAGCCACAAGGCTGGCAGTGTGCAAGCAGCCCCAACAGGGGCCAGCATCACTCCAAAGTGACACCTGCCCTGGAGTAAGAGGAGATAAGCACATACACTAATCAGAGCGCTGCCCCAGCCGTGGGCTGGGGGCAGACGGTGGGTTTGATTGTAGGCCCCGCTGACCAATGAAAACTACTCAAGGAAAGTGCCTCCCAGTTTGCTGCTACTGCATCTCTAACAAATGTTTGGTCTGACTCAACTCAAGCCCAGGGTGGTCCCAGACGGTCCACTAACACCACAGGGACCAAACACTGCCCACAACAGGGAAAGAGAGCTAGATGACTGGACTGAAGGAAAAGCAGTCAAGACTCAAAAGCAAGGCCCACACAACACACATAGGAGACACCTCTGAAGCACCAGGCCATACTTTCAAGAGCAGGAGATGTAGCTGACTTCCCTAACACACTGAAACAGACACAGAGAGTTAGACAAAAGGAGAAGACAGAGGACTATGTTCCAAATGAAAGAATAAGACAAAACCACAACAAGAAACCTAAGCAAAATAGATATAAGTAATATGCCTTAGAGAATTTAAAGTAATGATCATAACTTTACTCATAGGACTTGAGAAAAGAGTGGAGGACATCAGTGAGACCCTTAACAAAGAGTTAAAAAAGAAATAATCAGAGATGAAGAACATAATAAATGAAATTAAAAGTACACTAGATGGAATAAATAGCAGGCTAGAGGAGCAGAAAAACAAATTAGCAACCTGGAGGACTGAATAATGGAAAGTAATCGAGCTGAGCAGATGAGAGAGAAAAAAAATATGCAAAATGAGAATAGACTTAAGGAACTCAGCAACTCCACCAAGTATAATAACATTCACATTATAGGGAGCCCAGAAGAAGAAGAAGAGAGAAAAGGGGACAGAAAATTTATTGAAGACATAATAGCTGAAAACTTCCTAAACCTGTGGAAGGAAACAGATATCCAGATCCAGGAGACAAAGAGAACCTCCAACAAAATCAACCCGAGGTGGTCCAA